AATTTAGTTAACGGATTATCAGATTTGGATCTTAGTTGGGTTATCGAATTAAGACCCTAAATCCATCTCCCATTAATTTCATTGGATTCAGATCAAAATCCGATCCATTGACAGCCCTACCTGTGACCGCAACCAGCCAAATAATTACCAGATCAAAAACAAGAAATTCCAAACCAAAACAATATCCTAACTTCATGACATTCTATGCTACTAAACATCCTCTTCGAGCCTTCTCTAGTGTTACCCATGAACCTGAGCCAACTTGTTACACAAAGGCAGTGACAAGACCAGAGTGGCGTGCTGTTATGGGGCATGAATTTGATGCTTTAATGGAAAATGGTACTTGGTCACTATGTCAGAAACGTCCAACTAAACCCCTTGTCCGTAATAAGTGGGTCTTTAAAATCAAAAGAAACCAAGATGGTAGCACTGAACGTTATAAACCAAGACTCGTAGCAAAGGGATTTGATCAACGCAGTGATGTAGACTATTTTGATACATTCTCAACGGTTGTAAAACCTACAATAATTCGGTTGGTTTTGGCCTTGGCTGTGGATTTTAGGTGGAACATTCGTCAATTAGATGTGTCTAATGCATTCTTACATGGGGAGTTGGATGAAGAGGTGTATATGGAACAGCCACAGGGTTTTGTGGATGAAAATAATCCAGATATGGTCTGTCGATTACACAAGTCTCTCTATGGACTTAAACAAGCACCGAGAGCGTGGTTTAAAAGGCTTTCCCAACAACTTGTTGATATTGGTTTCACTGAATCAAAGGTTGATTACTTATTATTTATACACTGTAATGATGACATTAAGTTGTTTATATTGGTCTATGTAGATGATATACTCATCATAGGTTCAGATCAAGCTGCTGTAAATCATGTAATTAATTAACTCAAACAGAGTTTCCAACTCAAAGATCTAGGTCAGCTCAGCTATTTTCTTGGTGTTCAGGCCGTTAGGGACAATACAATCTCCATCTGAGGCAAGCAAAGTACATTTCTGACCTATTGGAAAGCACGAAGATGGTTGGAGCAAAGCCCCTTGCATCTCCTACTACTTCAGGGTTGAAGTTGTCCTCAACACAAGGCCTACTACTTACTGATCCAACAGAGTATAAGCGTGTTGTAGGAGCTCTTCAATACTGCACTATTTCAAGACCCGACATATCTTATGCTATTAATCAATTATGTCAGTTTATGCATAGTCTAAGAGAACCTCACTGGATAACTGTCAAACGGGTTCTTAGATATCTGAAAGGAACCATTGATTTTGGTCTCCAATACTCTCTTTCAGGCATGGATTTTAATGCATTTTGTGACTCGGACTGGGCTTGGAATCCTGATGACAGAAAGAGCACAAGTGGCTATGGCATTTTTATAGGACAGAACTTGATTTCGTGGTCAGCCAAGAAGCAGAACGTTGTGTCCCGTTCAAGCACAGAAGCTAAATACAGAAGTATGGCCTTGACTACAGCTGTGATGTACTGGATTCGAATGTTATTCAAGGAATTACAAATTGTGATCCACACTCCTCCAGTGATATGGTGTGATAACATTGGAGCAATTGCCTTGGCATCTAATCCTGTCTTTCATGCAAGGACTAAACACGTTGAAGTTGATTACCACTTCATCCGAGAAAAGGTAGTCAATGGAGATATTCAAGTTAAACACATCTCCACACAAGATCAACTAGCAGATGTGTTTACAAAGGGTCAATTTGCAGCTAGATTCCAGTTTCTTAGACACAAATTGAAGGTCTGTTTGCTCCCCATCAGTTTGCAAGGGAGTGTTAGAATATCACCACATATGACCAAAGTTGGTGAATCAGCCGAGAAAAGAGGACCAGATTCTACAACAGAATTATGCACATCAGCTTCTACCTGTACTGTTGAGAAAAGAGGTTCAAATTAGGATAAGATTCCAGTGCAGAATTATCTCAACTTTCTTTTGAATTAGAGTGGAATACTATAACAATATATGCTAGTCAGTCTCCTAAGGTAACTCAGTTCAGTTGGTGTAAATGTCTATATAAACTTATTCAATGCATACGTTTGGGATTAAAAACAAAAGCCAAACAATTCAAAGTCTGTGTGCTTCTTCATTAAAGTTTTTCACTCCAACCAATCGTGTGAACATCCATTTATTTTCTAGAATTTAGATTAAAACTCAGATTTACAACTTTTAATTTGTTTTAATCAAATAATAGTTAAAGAAAAATTGAATTAATGCTAGAAAATAATTCTTGTGGGATCGACAATCCGAACTCTTAGATCCACTATTACTTGTTACGGGTCGTATACTTGCGAAACTAAAATTTTACAACACTAATGGCATGCCACATACATCGTACTTACGCACCGACCTATCTCCCTTAGGCATCGAATGCCCTCTCCTGAAGACGCGTAAAGTATCGACAAAACATCTCTGCCTTCATGAATAGCTGTTGAACGTATCGATATTATCAACAACTTGCAAATGAAAAAGGTCAATCGACGTCTTCCTGTGTTGACACCTCAGTACTCTCTCGAGTATAAACACCATTCCCAACTTCAACTTGTCGGACATCTAGTCGCAACCCCTGAATGCCTCTCCTAACTGCGCCAGCGCCACTGTCGTGTGCCCATTAAAATAATCATTCAACAGTCTCTTATTTGTCGGAATACTGGCCATTGCTGCCTCTTCGTCCGTACATCTCAATCCAGTGATGAGAGCAAACTCAAATATGGAAAATGTAGCAACCTTGCCCCAAAATTAAAGTGGAGGGCATCTCCGTCAACTGGTTTAAGCTGTCGACATAATGAATTGATCAACTGTCCAGAAAACTGTACAGAGCGTAGCGAATACAGGGGCTATAAACAGGGTACGTAATGTCTCTGCGTGATTCTCGTCCAATGAATCCAACACTGCTGTGAAACTGGCAAGGTTACAGTTCGATGTAACTTTGCCAGGAACCTATCTCAAGGCGGCATCCAAATGGTAATCGATCCTGCAAAATTTCAAATGTTAGAACATTGTTAATTGAAAATAGATAAAACATAATGTCACAAAATTTAACTAACCGAACTATAAGTACTATACGCACGAAATAACAGATAATAAAGAAAATGAATTAAAAATTAGACAACAAATTATAAAAAGCAAAAAACTAATTTTTGTAAAATTATTTATTCAATAGTTTATTTTAATTCTTTATTATTTATTTCATTTCAATTGTTTATTTACTGGTTATTTAAATTATTTTTTGAACATTTAAACTTAAATATTTAATTATTTATTTCAAATTTTAGATATTTATTTCATTTCTTCATTTCACATAATGGTTTATTGAATGCTTATTTTTAATTATTTATTATAATTGTTTATTTAATTATTTTCATTTGTTTATTTAAATTATTTATTAAACATTTAAACGTAAATATGTAATTATTTGTTTTATTTTTCTTTAGTTGTTTATTCAATATTTATTTTAATTACTAATTGAATATTTAATTATTGATTTTAAATATTAGATATTTATTTCAATTGTTTATCTAAATTTTAATTACTTACTTTGATTATTTTTATTTGTCTATTATTTAAAATATTTATTGTTTGATTGAAATTGTTTATTTTATATTTAATTACTAATTTTGATTATTTATATTTAATTACTTATTTAAATAAATTATTTTGAATATTTATATTTCTTAGTTATTTAAATTTTTTATTTTTATTTAAATGTTCATTATTTATTTAAATTGTTTATTTAAATTATTTATTTAAATTGTTTATTTGTTTATTTAACATTTATTTTAATTGTTTATTTAATGCTTAGTTTTAATTATTTATTGTAATTATTTATTTAATTATTTTCATTAAATTATTTCCGAACATTTAAACGTAAATATTTCATTTTTTGTTTTATTTCTTCAGTTGTTTATTTCATATTTATTTTAATTATTAATTGAATATTTATTTTAAATGTTAGATATTTATTTCAATTGTTTATCTCAATTTTAATTACTTACTTTAATTATTTTTATTTATTAATTGTTTAAATTATGATTATTGTTTGATTGAAATTGTTTATTTAATATTTAATTACTAATTTTGATTATTTATTTTTAATTACTTATTTAAATCAATTATTTTGAATATTTATATTTTTTGGTTATTTACATTGTTTATGTATTATTTAAAATGTTCATTTTTTATTTCAGTTGTTTTTTATTTATTTGTTTTAATTGTTCATTTAAATTATTTGATTTAATTATTTATATTAATTGAAGAAATAAACGTAAATATTTAATTATTTATTTTAAATGTTAGAAATTTATTTCAATTAAGTTTTAATTACATATTTTGATTATTAATATTTATTCATTATTTACATTTTTTATTTATCATTTAAATAATTATTTATTTATCATTTAAATGTTCATTATTTATTTTTGTGTATTTAAATTATTTATTCAAATACAATGAAAAAAATTAAAAATTGGGGAAAAAAGGGCCACAGCTAGACCGTCTTTTCCGGACGATCGCTTCTTCGGCTCTAGCTGCCGGAGATTGACGACTCCGACCCAAAAACACATCAAAAAATGTCATTTTCAGTAATTTCACCTAATTTATAAAGATTTCAATCACTATTTCCAACAAAATAAACTTTCAACATTCAAATTTAAAGATTAATGGGAGAAAAATAAGTAAAACTTACCTTCTTCGCCTTTAATGGTGGTCGGTCGATCTCCTTCCAAGAGAAAGTCATCGATTTCCTTGCTATTTCTTCTTTTTTTTCTCCAGACGTCGATGTGAGTGACTTGTGTTAGGGGCAATATTGACTTTTCATTGTTTTTAAGATTTTTATAGATTTTTCAATTTCCTTTTTTTTTTTTTAAAGCAGTAGTCGTGACTATTTGTCATCATTTCCTGCCCCGAACCCAACCCGCTCCATCCCTATCATATGCCCCACATTTCTCCATTTGTTTTCCTACTTCACAAAGCCAAACTTAGGGCACTATTCAAAACTTAAGCCGACAAAGTTAAAAATAAAAAATAATAAAATCTGAGAGCAGTTCTCATGAGAGGGTAGAGGAAAAGTAGAAAAACCCCAAGCGGATTCCTGGTATTCGGTGCAGAAAACCAGAGGAGAATAATGGGTGAAGAAGAGAAGCGAAATCCAAAATCCGAATTGGATTTGGAAGTAAAACAGTCAAATGAATCAATCAACCACAAGATGGAGGATACGAATCAACTGGAAGAACAATCTTCAACGTCTTCTTCAAAGAATACAAATGCAAATATTCAGACGGGGAAGACTTGTAAAGGTTGCCTTTATTACTCATCCCATTTCAAAGCCGATTCTCGAAACCCTCTTTGCGTTGGTCTCCCCCGTTCCCTTCCCAATGGTAACCTTATTTACCCTTGAATTTTTCTGGGTTTTTCCTTATACTACACGATTAGATTTTGTGATTAATAATTAATTATTTGGGGTTTTTCATTATTTCTGTAGAACTTTTTAATTGTGCCTTGAGAGTGTTTTGGCAAGAATTTTATATTTTCGAAAGGGTATTTGTATTACCAGTACAAAATTTAATAACTACACCACATTATAATAACACCACAATTAAAATATACACCACAACAAATTTACAATTATACTACTAATCCAATCAAAACTAAAAATTTTAAAAAATATAAATATACAAATATTGTGGTGTACTCATCATCTCAATATTACACCTCTTTTTTTCATTGATATACATCTTGATTCTTTAACTTCACGATGTATATCTTTTAAAAATATTGTTAAGCATATTCATAAAATTTCCATGAACTGTTCTTTAATTTCTTTCACTGAAGCAAATAGAGGGTTTAATATCCATGAAAAATATGAGAAAAATTCTCTTCTTGTGGACTATGGCAAAAACACAAATAAAAGTAATACACAAAAATTCATCAACGATCTTTAGCATTTTCTCCATTATTTCTTCTAATACTACATTATAGGCACAAACCAAAAAAAAAAATAAACAACAACAACAACGACAAATATTACAAAAAATAATTGTTAATGGTAACTATACATGCATCTGGTCTTCCTTATATACTTGAAAAAGTCATAAATTGATTAGAAAACAATTGATCAACTGCACGCAAACTTAAATGGAGATGATGAAATTAAAAAAAAAATGGATTATAACGAAATTGAAAAATCAAATGTGCCACATGCCAACAAACTCGTCACCAAAATTTGAAGATCGAATTCCAACAACTATTGCTATGAAATATCCAAAACCCCAGTTAAAATCCCAAAAACAAAAGATGCATTCAATCATGAGTAAAGCCAATAAGGAGAAAGAAAAAGCCAATGAAAGTAATTTCAATTTGAAGTTTTACTGTACATGTTAGAGTTTGTATTCTTGGTGTACATAAAGATAGATGAAAGAGAGAATAACACATGGATGTTGATGGTTATTTGTGTCATTTTAGTTTGGGTTATTTTAGTAAATAAAAAAAATATGGTGATTCAAACAATATTTGTTGTGGCAATATAATTATCCTTTTCGAAATTCTGAATAGAAAAAGATGAGAAGAGTTGTGTGGAAATTTTGTTTATTTTGGAACAATTTAGGACTGAATATCTTTTATGTAAGGTTAAGATTGTATATCTGTGAATATAGTGTACCTGCATTTTCTCCTCTTGCATATGGTTCTTACTTTGAGAAAGAAAGAAAAGTGTTCATTGTGAAAGAGAAAGTCTTTTTTGTGTACTCAATAGATACAGGAGGATAGGGGTCTTTATATATGTTCTTTTACCTGCCACATCTTGGATTTGCGGCTTTATAAATGTTTCTTTACCTGCCACATCTTGCATTTGCATCTTTATCTATGTTTCTTTACCTGCCAAATCATAGATTTGCTTTTAGAATACGATAAGCTCTTTGCTCGTAGGATTTCATTTGGCTAAGTAAAACTAGTTTGTTTTGAAGAGATATAACTAGTTTGTTTTGAAGAGATATAGGCCTTAAAAAGAACATGAAGATTAATAGTTTGCTCAATGTTCTCTGAATTTTGTGGACTTGTGCATGATGTAACATATATCAGAAGTATAAGCATCAGATCATTCAGTTATCTGTGTAGTTTGCTTCTTATGTAAAGATGAATATTGATTTTCATAAATTAAATACCTTGGTGAGTACTGATTCCGTGTTTGATGACTAGTACCGCAATATATCGTTGGAGAATCTGAGATGGAAGCCTCTAAAAAAGGTAGAAGCCTAAGAGATTTCAGATATGCTTGTGTTGGTTATGCTCTTTACACTGACCGGAAAAAGCAGGTAGCTGATGGACAAGAGACACAAACTGAATTGCCAGTTTGTTTTGGCCTTGAGGTTAGCATTTCCCCTTTCTTCCTTTCTGCATATGTTTTGAATTTCTTTTTATTTGCCTCATAGGATGGTTAAGATTATAATAAATACTCGATCCTTACTTTTCCAGTTTCTTTTTCTTTCTCAATTCAATCTAAAGAAACGCAAACATTTCATTGAATGTGAATTTTTTAACATTTCATGACTACCACCAATCACAAGTAAATGTTATCTTTCAATCTCCATGTGTGCTGCGCATGGATGGTGAATTACTAATGCAATAAATGGCACTGTTCTGGACATAAAACTCCAGTAGGTTTAATCCCATCCTGTTGAAGGTGTTATTTACCACCTGAATTTTTCTGGTTTCATAGTTTTCTAGCTTCCACCTGTCTTAATCCATCTTGTGATCTTGGTTGACTTCTTTGAGACTTTTGCTCAGGTTATAGTAGATCGAAGTGCTGCTGCTCCTATTCATAATAGAGAAGGTGAAGGTCCTTCCTTTTTTTTTTCCCTGATGTAGATTGTTTGCAATGTGCAATTGGTATGTGGGATTTAATGATTTATTTACGAGCAGTAGGTTTGTTAGAGATTTCCAAATGAAGATTTTGCTCCATTCTATGATCGAGTGTTTGAAGTGGTCATATTCAAGTTATATATGTTTCCAACTAGGTGTTAGTATTGTTAATGGCTTAGCATCTGTTCAGGAAACATTGTGTGTGCTTGAAGTCGTAATGAATTTTCATTTTTATTCTCATGGGAGTTTTTGTCTTATATCTAAATTCCTCCTGTCAACCTGGCATCCTTGAACCAATGAGTGACATCATTGCAAATGGATAAACACAGATATTTGCCCCAATTTGAAAAATAACTTTGCTTCCTACTCTTCCCTTTTCTTCTATTTTATTAGAAACTACAGATAATTAAAATAAAATTTCATATGATAAAAGAGAGATATAAAGCTTGGTGAATAAATAATTGTCTTTTTCGGGGCCTTTTTGAATAGAATTAAGTCAAGTTTCCACCTTTTGGCGAACTGGTTGAGCTTGATAATTAAGATGGCTCATTTTTGGCTCTTGTAACCTTCAAGTTCTATTCGTCTTTGCATATACCTGTAGAGTTGTACATTGACAGAACTTACACTTCATGTACTAGTCTTAGCATGACTACTATGAATAATATATTTCTGTTTTATTTGTGAAATGTGAAGTCAATGTCAACTTTTGATGTAACCATATTGTAAGCAAAAATTTTCAACCATAAAAAGGGTAAAAAAAAAAAAGTGAATAAGCTGCTAGTCTTCTCATTTTTCATTTTTACCTTTTTATAGCTCTCTCCACTCCCCACCACACACGAACACCATTTAAAAAAGTTGGTTGCTGATTTTCAAATTGCCATGTATACTGTGGAATCATTATCTTCCATTTATAGTTGTGTTTATTTACATTCTCTTAATATGTTTTCCAGTTGGAGAGTGGACTGCCTTCTGAAATAAGCTTTGACATAAATAGAATAGCAATATACTCCACTGATGTAGTACATCACAGCTACAGTTAATAGTTTTCTACTACAATTATGTTTTATTCTTTCTAGGAGTTTATCTTCTCAATTATGTTTATCTTTTTAGTTTTCTTGTGTAGTTGTAATACGACTTTATCTTTTATTTGATTAGGACTATAGTTTCAATTTTCTAATACTATTTGAAGTAGGGATTTCAATTAGAAAAAGTATCTGCATGGATGTTGGATATAAACACGTTAATTTTGTGAAGCAAGCAAGTGCGTTCTTGTTATAAGATGTATATCCATCATATATTTGTTGAAAGGCTTCATGAAGATTCTTCTCTTATGTATATACAGATTTTTATTTGCTTTATGAATGAATATTTGTTGGCACCTGTAAGTGGTTGAGGCAAACTTCTACCATTGTGGACAACATTTTCTCTACCACTTTTAGATGCCATTTTATTTCAATAGCAATGCAGACATGTATGGGCATTCGTGATGTGATTCTCGATGTATTTTATGGAAGGACACACCTCTTCTTGTAGTTATTATGGTTAATCTGTTAAACTTGTCTGTTTCTTGCAGCAGATGGTAATGGGTTGCCACAACGTCGAACGCATAAACCGACTCCTTCGACTGGGGATGAGTTCCTGAGCAGGCAAGCACATTCTGAGTTTCATTTTGGAAATCAAATTTTTAGTGTATGATATTGGCTTTCATAACATACACTCCATCAATTAGATGACTTTGATTTGACTTCTGCTGCCAAATGAAAGCTTTAGCTCTGTAGTTTTATTATTAGTAATTTAGTTTTGAAGTGCATATAACTTTTACGGTTAGAAATTGCTCATTAAATACTATGTAAAACGTGAATAAATTGACATAAGACATACCTGAAATTGTCTTATTACAAAATCCGCATCAAAATTGGATGGGGTCATGAAAAGACTGCGTGTGTGTTAACAGAAGGACTAAAGTAGAACAATGTCCAATAAAAAAAAAAATCTGAAATAATTTAGGAATGTATGTTTCTTCTTCAACCATGTACTGGCTTTTATTGACTGATAACTCTTAAGGGTCCGTTTGGTTTGTATTTGAATTTTGATTTCATTTTCAATATTTTGTTTTGAGGGTCTATTTTAGGATTGTTAAATATGCGTTTGATTTATTATTTTGAAAAATTATTTCTCAAAACTAAAAATTAGAAAACACGTTTAGTTTGAAATTTTAAAAAATTTATTTTTTGATATTTTATTCCATGAAATTTGATTATTAAGTAAAAATATAACAATTTTATGTTAATATATTATTAATTAATATATACATTTTAAAATTGGTGAATATTAAAATTTTGTTTTCTTGCTACAAAAGTAGTAGTAGTAGAAATAATAATAATAATAATTGAGTTCAAAGTATAGGGAAAAAAATTCATGACATCGACTGAGAATATATTTATCTTTGTTCATTTAAATACATTTTTAGAATTTTTATGTAAGTAATCATTAAGAGATTGAACTTTTTTCATTTTTTATTTTTCTGAGAATTTTTATAATTTATTTTTTCAGAATTTTTTTTTTTAATTTTAGAATTTATTTTTTCAAATTTTTTTTTTAAATTTTATTTGTTAGAATTTTATATTTTTAATTTTTAAAATTTCATTTTCTAAAATGTTATTCAAACACTTGTTTTCCATATTTTGTGTGTTTACAGAATTTTTTCGTTGAAAACATTCAAAATGTCAAAAATGCATTTTAATTTTTATGTTGTATATTTAACCTTCTTTTTCAAAATACTCTACCAACACATTTTCAGTGTCTTGAAAAATTGAAAACAACTTGAAAACAGCAAACCAAACTCACCCTAATTGTTTTGGGCAGATTTTGAGTTTCTTATTTCATTTTAAGCAGTATTGGTAAATAGATATTCTCTTCAGATTTGTAATAGGTAAGTAGTCGAAGTAAAAGGAGAGCTTAATACTTCGACGAGTACAATATATAAAAGGTTTACCAAATACAGATGTACTCTTTTATTTCTTTTGCTGGAAAGAAGAGTCACTCTTAAGGACTATTCGTTTGGTGAGAAAACAAGCTAGGAAAAGTGATCCGTTTGCTTGGTGGAATGCTTGGTTTATTTTAGTGATTTAGGATTTTTCAGGTAGAGCAACAGTGGGAGCTTCCATCCATATTTTAGGGATGTACTTTTTTTTTTCTTTTTTTCGTGAACTGTGCTGCTAGAATCTCTTGGGACACTATTTATATGCCACTCAATTATTGTTCGGTAGTGGATACATAATGCTTTTGACTCTTATCCCATGCTACATCGAATGGCATTAAACGTTTTGCCTTGTTCTGGTAGTATAGTTATTGAATTTTTATGAAAGAGAGAATAGTAGAGATTAATAGACGAGAGGCATCAAGTTTTGAAAATGATTTTGAATGAGATAGTTCCCTGATTTGAATTATATCTACTTGTAATTACTGACATAAGTACAAGTACAACAGTGCCATCATTCCCTCAAGAATAAAAGACACCAGGCATTGCTTCGCTAGCCCTCGAGCTGGTGAGCTGGTGCATGGATATCATATGTGCCTAGCTTTCTCTACATGTCATGAAACACTGTACTTTCCACTCTTCAGTAAAATATCAGGATGTTAATCTTTTGGTCTTCATATGCTTGGTCCTATCATGTTGGATTGTGTGCTACAGTGAATCTGGTCTTACAATACCATTATACTTTTATTGCCAATGAGGCCTTCGTCCAGTGGGTTCGAAGGACTATGACTGAGGTTTTGGGATTAGATATTCTTTCGTATGGTTTCTAGTTGCCTTTTGTAAGGAGGCCATTACTTATTATTGCTCTATTATTTGTTTTTATTTGTTGCAACGAATAGTTCTGATGAAATTTTATGAATAAATGGTCATTTGTACACATTTTGTTGGTTTCTGGTGATTTAACATTGTTGCTCTTGTTTTGGGAAATTTCTTGTTCATAATAATTAAAATTTTGGAAAAAGCTACCAATACCTTTTTGAACTAATAACCATTTGGCTGTACTGAAAAATCTAAGTTTTTTAGAATATACAGTATGGTGGAACTTGAGCACAAAATCTGCCTTTGATCGAACACTTTATTTCAATCTTACGCAGAAAACATGAAAAAACTTGGTTTATTCAAATCAAATCGAGCTGCTTCCCTTGTTTGTTATCATATTTCTATCTCTTTTCCCTAAACATAAATTTTATTGAGAAAAAATGTTGTTAACATACAGGTTTATGAGAAATGCTAATCTGGTTGCAAATGGGGTGGCCAAGAACGTACGCAAAGTGGGGAATCAAATAAAAGAGTCTATTGATGACATATTGTATCCCTACCGAAGACGGCCAAAGTAAAGAGGCTAGTCCTTCCCGTGTAATAAAAAATGGAGGAATAAACCTTGATCTATAATGTACTATCTGCTTTATAGTAGTCTGATTTCCTCCTCTGAAATTCGACGACGACGGACAAAAGCAGGGTTTTTTGTTGGCTACTTGTAGTCCAGATTTGACTCTCTGTTGATGCCTAGTTTGATGAGGTGAATGGAGGCTAAGGTTCTTGTTTTGGCCTGTACTAGTCCTTCAACACTGCTCTCCGTATTTTTGTACAGCAACAATTTATTGGCATACCCCGAAATATAAATAGCAGTGATGAAATGCCAATGTAAAATGTGTTCTTTTTCTGTTAATCCAAAACTTGAATCCTGGGTTTTCATTTTCTTGCTGGGAGCTGGAAATTATGCGGGAGAAAGTTTACTTGATTCCCTGGGGAAAATTCTCTCGTCTGCAAAATTTCGTTCACATTTTGAAGTTCGCGGCACATGGATGTAATCCGACCGTTCAAGTATTGCAAATTGCATGGGAAATGTGGCAGGAAGAGTGACATACGTATGGGGTATATGTCCATTTATATTGAATTGCAAATGATAAAATCCAATCGAAAATTTCAGAAGAAATATTTTTTATTTCTAAAAATTTTTAAAGGAAAAATAAAATTATTTCGAAAAGTTTCAAAAGAAACTAACTCAGTCCCAACGGCCATGGTACGACAGAGGGTGCAAGTGTTATCCAAAGTAGAATTGATTCAATCATGGAATCATGAATAGTCATTGGTTGATTTTTCGATCAAAAGTGCTATGTGAAATCTTCTATTTTTTCCTTTTCCTCTATCTCTATCATCATATATGAAATAACGGACGGTATAAATTTAGTAACACTTTTTCTTTCGGATCTGTTGCAGGAAAGGGATAATTTGCATGTCACAGGAAAGGGATAATGTGCAACTTCGATGGAGAGAAGAACCTATAATTAGCTTTTTGGGAAATTTCCAAACGAACAATTTCAACGAAGAACTTATTGTTAAACATTTTTCAGATATGAATCTATTTGATTTAGAAGGAAAGAACTTGCATTAGCTTTAGGTAGATTTATTACCTATATATTCACTGTTGTTAGAATCAAATTACTTGAATTGTTGATGGCGAATTCTTCAAAAAAATCGTGTCTTCCACATGGAATCTGAGGCAACAAGAAGGAAAATGATTGAATAGAGGAACTCCCGAACATTTAGCGATCAATTATTACTTTGGACAGAAGAAGACTATGTAAATGCTTACTCGAAATCTCACTTATCAAATTTCATTGTGGAACATATGGAGATTTCATCTACATAGAGACTCATTGGAAAAGGGGAGAAGGGTGTCCAAGGCCTATCACTACTACGAGGAACAAATTCTCTTATTGGGGTGACGTATTTGTATTTGATAAATGCTTTATATTTGTATACTTTGAAACTATTTTCAATAAAATTTAGCTATCTTCGTTTATCATTTTCGCTTTTCTCATTTTTTAGGGAGATTTTTCTATTTGGCCTATCACTATTCCTCTTCATGGAAAAGTCTATATTGCCCTTAATGAAATGATTCTTTCTATATTGCAACATATATCCTAATATTTTAAATATTTTATCTTATATTTATTCTATTTTGAATGTTTGAATATAATTTCATTCTATGATCTACTAAATTGGAAATTGTTCACAATTATTATTTAATATATTATATTCTTTAGAAGATGCATCCATATTTTCTAATTGAGAATACATATTTTTTATTATTTCTAACATTCTTTCTAATAAATTATCCAATCATTTAATTGTATATCCTGACATTTATACAAATAATCATTAAATCATGCAATTAATCCATTTGATTCTCTAAGATCGAAAAAAATTTATCCTAATTTTTGCAAAAAATTAATAGTTTTACCTTAGGTTTGATCTGAATTTTTATTCTTAGAACCGAGTAACTTTTGAGCTCTGAATATATAAACTGCTTCCTTCAACGGCCTCCTACCCTCACGAAATCTTTACAATTTCAGCTTCTTGCTCTCACTGTATCAATTCAAAAGAATAAAATTCTAAACTTCTGTTAAAAAAAAAAAAAAAAAAAACTCTCTTTTTTCTAAAATAAGAAGGAAACTTTCTTTTAGATTATTCAAGAATCGTTGGGAATAAAGATTTAGAAACTCATATTAATATCAAAATATTGAAATTTTATTTCTATCAAAACTTTTACAAGATTTCTATTGGTAAACAAGGATTTCTAAAAAAAACTGGTTTTTCAAACAAAAGATAGCTTAGGAGTGGCTATTGATTACAATTTGAGATTTCAAGATGATTTCTATCTATTACGATGATCTATTTATACAAGTCTATCAGATTTTATTACATCGAGTACATCGGCAAAGGCACACTTGCCTATTTATTATTTTTCTCCTTGGGCCTACATCTTCACATGCTTCTTCAACTTTTTATCTAAAGAGCATTTTTTTCTATTATTACCAGTTATCTTATATGTCTTTACATGCAACTGTATTATTATTCTCCATATAGCTTTGTCAAATGTGCTCTATTATTGTCTTTTTTTTCACATGCAGCTGGGGCACTCTTTTAGTTGGCAGGATTCTTTTATAGTGGTAGGACATCTTGAAAATTGATGTATTTCAAATCTTGTAATATAATCTTTCAATATTTTTGATTTTCCATGTCCTTGATTTGATACCAGCATCCTGTTTTCATATTGACATAAGCATGAGAATTTTTTGTCAAACAAATTTTTGGCAATATTGTATATGACTTTAATTCCAAGTGTTCTTCTATGTCTGATCTATTATTTTCTTATTGTTGGAACTTTTCTATCACTTTCCACCACATCTTATTTGGAAGTTGGCTGCTACATATCCAATTGATATTATATATTCAACTAGATAATAAACAACTCTAACGTATTCATGTCTTATTGAGTAAAATTTCAAATATATTCCTCGTCCTTTAACAAATCTGGATACTTCTTTTATGAATATATCATCAAATTTCAAAATTTCTATCAAATATTTTCCTGGATATATCAAATCCATAGATCCATAGTCTGCCATAATTTTTATAAATGAAGGGTCTTCTCCTTCCATAACTGCTATTCTTAGATAAACATTATTTCTCGGAGAGATGAAGTATGAATCACTCATTTTTATTTCATAAGCAATTCTGACTATTTCAGCATATTTTTATTCTTTTGGATCTAAAGAAATTTTATCTTTTTGGTCTATGATGCTGATTGTTTTGAAATCTCTTTTATCTCCATGTATCATCACTTTTTTTGTTGATGATATTGAAATGAAATCTCTTTTTTTATCAGTTGGTATATTGTTACGTCTGGGTCCACTGCTGCTTCCAACTTTCCCTGTTTGGTATTGATTTAGAAAACTCATTTCTGAACTCTTTGGCATATCTGTCTCAAATAGTATATCTTTTATTTGTGCTGCAATAGCATCAACTTGATTTTTAAGTTAAATGGCCTCTTTATGATGCTCGGACCTGAGTAGTGATATTCAACAATATTTTTATATTTGAGTTGAACATCTCTGAGATCTGTGTTACTCCAGTATTTATATCTTCAAATTATTCTTTAAGAAAATCTGTCCTTTTTTTGTATATGTATGATAGATTGGTATAACTTCATAACCTTAACTTTATCAATCAGCAAATTCTATGTTTGTATGGAGAAAATTTACAAGAAAATTATTAACTCCTTTAATATGAACTATATCAAAATTATAAAATGCAAAATAAGTTTGCCACCTATGGAGCCTTCTATATTGAGGTTCTGATGGTAATTTATTCCTGACTAATCCTGCAACTTGAGAATTATCAGTTTCAACAATAAATTTCTTGGATAACAAGAATAATGAAAACTTTTTTATTTCTCTAATAATTGCTAATAATTCTTTCTCATGAGTGGTATAATTTATTTCTGCTTGATTAAAAGTTCCACTTGAATATCTACAAATTTCATTTAAATCTGTTTTTAATATTGCTGCCCAATATTTATCTGAGGCATCAGTATTAACAATCAAATTATTTTTTTCATCTGGTAATTTTAATTTTGGTAAATCTTTACATTCTTCTTTTAATAATTTAACTATTTCTATATGTTTTTCATTCCATTCTTTAGTATTTATTTGTCTAAGTAAAATTTATATTTTATGCATTTTCTTAGAAAGATTTTTAATAAAACCTTCTGCATAATTTAAATATTCTAAAAATTTTTGTATCTGCTCTTTGGATTCTAATTTATCTAAAAAAACTTTCTATCTTTTTAGATATATGAGTTTGCAATTTTATTCCTCTTTTATCTATTGATAAATCAAGAAAATTTATCTCTTATTTTTCTATTATAGATTTCTTTTTAGAAAGTACAATTCCTTCTTTTTTGCATTAATTTATGAATTGTATCAAATGATTCCTATATTCTTCTTTACTGTTAGAACATGTCGGTATATTATATAAACAATTAGAAATTTATTAAACTTTTTAAATACATTATCCATTTTTTTGATATATTTGTGGTGCATTTTTCAATTCAAATGACATTACTAACAATTCATATTTTTTTTTGAAGTGTATTAAATACAGGATATTGTATACTATCTTCTTCCAATTTTATTTGCCAAAATCCTGATTTATAATCGAATTTAGAATAATATTGTTTTCATTTTATAAGATTTATTAAAACTTCTTTATTTGGTAAAAAATATTCATCAAATTTAGTATATTTATTTAATTCTTTATAATTTATAATCATTCTAACTTTTTCTCTAACCTGTTCAGAATGTTTCATAACCATAAAGGTTAGACTACTATGAGATCTATTGCTAGGTCTAATAATTTCTGTTCTATCAATTCTTTTATCTGATTTTTGAATTCTTGTGTATCTTCTATAGTATATATTATTGGTCTGACTCTTATTATAACATTTTCTGTCAATTCTATTTTGGCTTTAGGGTGATGTGGTTTCCAAAATAATAATGGATTTTCTCCGTAAACTTTTTATAATTATTCAATAATTTTATCTATACCTATTTCTATTCCCGTTTTCAAAACTTTTTTATACTATATTCTTTTATTTTTTATTTCATTAAATATTATGGTTTTTTCTCCCATTTATCACCACGCCGGGTTGGCTGAACTCTATAAGGTCTAAATTTTCTTAAAATTTTTAATAAATGTCCACAATGTGTTTGTAGCATTATTATATAATTATTCTGTTTATAATATTGAAATTATTGTATAAAGTCATTTCCTAATAATATATCACGCTCTAATTTACCATATTTATAAATTTTATTTATTGTAACTTGTTTATTTCTAAGAATTATACT